TACTTTTGAAATGTAATAGTTTTTTTCTCTCCACTTTTCGCTTTCTTTCTCTCTCTCTTTTCGTTATAAAAAAGAACTGACGATGGATTAGGTTTAATTGAATAGGGAAGATTCAAATTCATTAATTAAGATGAGATGATATAATAATGATCACATGCTACTTTCTTTTTTTCAATTTCTAAATATAATTTAATTCATTAATTTGTTTTTCAATAATTTTTCTATTCTATTTTTTTCTGTGCACAAAAAATAAATGATTTTCAGATATTTAGTTAATTTTCATTTCCAATTATTAACTTCAATTCTTAGATAGTGTCAAATTTTCTAGTTCCTTAATTATTAATTAAATTTTAAAATTAAAAAAGAAAAAACTCTTTTTAAACTTAATTGTAAATTAAGACGATATTTTATCCCCATATAAAATAATTAATAAAAGCGTAAAAAAAAGAAGATAATTAGAAAATATTTTGTTGGAATAAAAATTAACCTTTCAATCCATCTATTCCGTTCACGTGAGGTACGACAAGTGTAATTTGATACTTCAACAGATGTTGGATGTGTGGAATGAAGTTGTGTTTCTGCTCCATCTGAATTTTGATTATTTTCAAAAAAAAAAAAACAACGGAAAGATTCAGAATTTCTGCTTCATCTGAATTTTGATAATTTTCAAAAAAATACGAAAAGATTCAGAATCCGAAATTTCGATTAGAATAATTGCTTTCAATTTTTAGCTTTTTATTTTTAAAAGAAAAAAAACACTAATTCAATCTATTATATTTCTTTTCTCCTTTGATTTTCTTTCTTTTCCTCTAAAATGTGAAAAAAAATTTATGGCTATATGGAAATTAGTTCAATTTAAATTCTTCAAATTTTCAAAAAAAAAAATGAAAATTGCAGCATTTAGCATAAAAATTAAAGCTATTTAAAACATTTTAGGACTCAATATTATACATAAAAAAAAAGAAACTCATAAAAAAATAAAAGAGAAAAAACAATGTTTAAATTAAAAGTTAAAGCCATTTCAGATTTTTTCGGACTTCATATTAGAAATGCGGGAAAAAAAGAAAACGAAATGTAATGTTTAAATTGAAATATTTGAAATGCTTGTTAAAATGCATAGAAATTGAATAACATTAACTAAGTTATTCAATTCTATGCATGTTAATAAGTATTTCAAATATTTCTAAATTTGATATGATAAATGGAAAAGAAATATATATATATATATATATATATAGAACAAAATAAGGATACGATAATAAACCTAAATCAATCATCGGTGTTGTAGATGAGTAAGTTAATAAACTTTCATGTGAACGACATGGTCGAAATGAATTTTCATCATCTCGTGATATCGGATACGGTCGAAATGTTGAATGACGATATGATTGAACATTGAACAATCGTTCATTATCATTGCATACATTTTCATCACATTGTTGCAAATTATTATATGTATTGCTAAAATTTTAAAATATTTTAAATTATAGAAAGGAAAGAAAAATAAATTTTATAATTGAAAAATTTTTGGCAAAATTTTCAAATAATTAAAATAAAAATCTTTTTTCAATTATTCAAGCATCCGATTTATTCAAAAAAAGAAATAATTAAAAGATACCTTTTAGTATTTAAATTATTACAGTTTGTTGTTATTTTAGTAGACTGAAATCGTTGCATGTAAATTGTTGTTATTGTTGATGATGATGATGATGAGGATGATGATGATAGATGATAATGATGGTGATAATAAGATGATGATGATGATAATGAACGATGTTTATTAAAAGTAGATAATGATGATGAACGGATTGTTTTCCTTGTATTATGATGATATCCACAAATTGTTGTTGAAATAAATCCCATTTTTTTTCTAGGATTTAATTAAATTTTTTTTTGTTACTAATATTTTAAAATAAATTTCGAAAAAAGAAAAAATAACTTTGTCAACCAGAAGAGAATACAAGAAAACAAGTGAAGTGAATTTGGTAGTGATTTTTAATGTCTAGCAACTTACTTTTTAAATTTCAACAAAAATAATTTTCATCTGTAAAAGGAAAAAAAAAACATAAAAACCTGTTTGAGTAAGATTTTCTTCAGGATAAGTTATGGTATGATGAAAATGATGCTTTGAAAGTTGAAATGTGAGACAAGAAAAATGACTTTATGGAAATCGAGAAATTCGAACTATCGAAGATCCAATAACTAAGAAGCCAAGAAGCAAAATGAAACTACTTGATGGCCTCTTTTTTTTTTGGGCCAATATTTCGTCAATTTATGTTAAATTTATGCATAACATGATTGGTAAATCATCTCAAAAATCTTTATGATAAAAATTTCATTTCAGGATAGGATGACAATCATGATAACCGGTTATGAAATATTATTCCAAAAAGGATAACAATCCGAAAAACGCGCAGGAAAAAGCATTTTCAAATGGAATAAAAACCCGGAAAATCAATTACGAAATACCATTTCAAGAAATGTAATGAATAATTTTTAGAACAGGATAGCAATCCTGATAATCTATTATCAAATGTTATTTCCAAAAGAATAACAATCGGATCAATCTGCCATGAAAAGTAGATGGAATAAAAATCCGGAAAAATAGCAATGAAATACCATTTCAAGAATGATAACAATCATTCCTTTTTTGTAAGACAGGATTAGCAATCCGGAAGATTAATCTACGAAAATGATAAGAAATTGGAAGAAAAAAAAGATATTAAACTAATGTCATATAGGACAAATGTTTGATTGATACAACAGCAAATGATAACACTGTGTTTGACATTGATATTGTGAGCGAGGAATGATTTGAGTGATCGTAAAGAGCGGGGGAAAATAACGGGGGAAAGATGGGTAAGAACCGAGGTTAAATCTTCGAGATCAATCAAAAGGAATATTAAGTGAAAGAAGAGAAGAAGGTGAAGAAATGGACGGACAAATTAAATAAGGTATACAAGTAATTGTAGTAGTATAAGTTGTAATGATAAGAGAAGCAATGATAATAGGAAAATGATATAGTGATAGGAATCGAATGATTGAAATTAAATGTAGCTACTGGAAAAAAATGATAACAGAAATGATATCGTGATAAAAAATCGAATGATTTGAAATTGAGTATAGTTGCCAGAGAAGAGTGATAGTAAAAATGATACGAGTGATAGTAGAAATGTTGATAAGAATTTTGGAATTCTAAATTCAAAAATACTAAAAAATTTGAATTAAAACAGAGCATTAGTTACTTAGAATGATTATAATAACGGTTTAATCACGTTTATTAATTAATGAAGTAAAATGTAACTGTTGGAGGAAATTGATATTGGAAATGATATGAAGATAAGAATTGCAAATTAAAACAAAACATTAGTTATTTAGAATATATTCCTAATTTATTGATGGACTAATTGAAAAAAAAATAAGATGTTGCAAATAAACTATAAAATATTTCAAGAAAACTTTTAAGAGAAATCAAAATTTTAAATAGATGGGAAACCAAAAAAAATGAGTTCAGAAAAATAAAAACTAAAAGAAATTTTAAAAAAAATTCCAAATACCATTGTTTTCATTAGGAAAAGATTGATTTATCGTAGATGAAAAACGAAAAAAAATCATTAAATTTTTTATAATACTATAATGTCCAACAAGTAATACGGTAAATGATTAATAAACCATTAAAATTTCAAGTGTTACATTTTTATTTATAACATTTAAATTCATAATATAAGTGAAATGTGAATGGAAAGTATTAGGTGAATGAAAATGCAAATTAATTGTAATTATGAAACATCCATCAAAATATTTTCCATTGAAAATGCATTAATAATTAATTAGATATGGTAGCAAAATTTTTTAATAAAATTTCAAATTTTCCATAAATGTTTACAATATAATTTTGCCCAATTAATTTTCTTAATTTTCATTTTTTTTCTGACAGTTTGCTTCATTTTTTCTTTTATAAGCTATTTTCTATCATCTTATTATACATATTTTTCTTTACTTTTTACATATACCGGATCTATTTTTGTGTACTTTGGAAAACAGGATCTTTCAATTATCTCTGAGATATAAATTACTCTGAATATTGAAAACATAAAATATCTCCCATATACGATAACTTATTCTTTAAGAAAAAAAAAAAGAAATTAACCAAAATCAATAATACAATTTTCATTATTGTTATTTATTAAAATGAAATCATTAATTAAAAATAATCTAGTAGCTGATAATATTAGTAAAAATTATAATTGCTGAATTTAATTTTTGTTTAATTAAAAATATTTGTTATCTTTTAATAATAATTATAATAAATATGATAATTTCTCCTTAATTAAGCATATTCATTGACTCTTGATAATTATTTTTAAATTTAAGTTTATCAACCTTGTAATTATTTATCCAGAGTAATCACCAAAAAAAGAAAGTTCGAATTATCAGAATAAAATAATTTGAGAAAGAGAAAAATATTTGGAGTCAGGTTTATTCAAAAAGTGCTTGGCATGAATAGGTGACAAATGGCAGATGAAACGAGCATATTGATGCATGCATATTGATAAAATTATTACTAATTACGAAAAAAAAGTATTCGTAACAAATTGAAGATTTTGAAAGAAAGTGTTGTTGAAAAAGTTATTCAGCTATTGATGATTTCAGTATAAAGTAAAATTAAAAAGTAAAAGTGAAGCAAAGCAAAAGTAAAGTAAAAGTAAAAGTAGGATAAAGTAAAGCAAAAGTAAAACTTCATAATTTTATTACTAATTAATTGGTGTAAGAGCCAATGAACAATTTTTGTTCACAATTTGCAAAATTTCCAGTATTTGCTTAAGTAGATAAGATTTCGAATTCATTAGATTAACAAAATTGCTTTTTATTAACCACAACGAAAAGAATTGTACTGTGAATAGAAGAAGAATTGTAAGATTTCAAAATTTGATAAACTTTGCTAATTTTATTGATGGCATTTGCTAAAACATAAATTGGCAATAAATTAGTGAATGAAAAATTTTATTTGACAAAATTTTATAGCATAATATTAAAATTACAAAAAATTTAATTCAAAATTAATTCATAAAAATTTTGCAATGAAAAAAATTACAAATTATAATTCCCAAAATTACAAATTATAATTTTTTATTTTTAAATATTCCAAAATGTTAAAAAATATAATGTTTTTATTTCCTTTTATTTGATCAAATAATATCAATACTACAATGATACGTTATCAAAAAAAAGTCAAACTGAACAAAATTAAACAAATAAATTGATAAAACAGGACGGAATTAAGTTGTAAATGTTATGCAAACTGATATTATCAATTATAAAATCATTAAAATTATGGCAAAGTTAATTGTTAGCAGTAGTAAATGAATTTGTAATAATCAAAGTAATTTTTTCCATCCAAAGTAATTTTCAAAATAATTTTCAAATAATTAAAGTAATTTTTTAGTTTTTTTCATTATATATCTCTTTCTTTTTTAAATAATCTTTTAAGTAACTTATCATTATATAATTCTGTTTTTTTTTTTGTTTTGGAAGTCTTTTAAATCGCAATTTCCGATTAAAATTAATTTTTAAACGACGAAAAAAACAAAAATATTTCAATAAAATGAGCAAAAGAATTAACAAATTGTTGAGAAATCATTGATAATGGCAATGAATTTTTACACAATCACTGATAATAATTTATTAAATAATTATGAAACAATTTTTGGATGCTTAAAAAGTATGGATTATGCACATTTCTTGCATTTTATTTTAATTGTTAAGAAAAAAAAATTAATTTTGGAATAATCGGATGCTTGAATGAAACCAAAAAAAAGAAAAAAACAAAAACAAAAGCATTAATTCGGGCTCAATTAAAAGGTTCTGTATGAAATTAATGAATCAATTAAGAACCTTACAAGTCATTTCGATTCGTTGTACGTTTTCTTTCCAATTTTGTCGCACTCTTCGTACGGTTCAATGCATTACTTCGAAATGGCCTCGAAAAGAAATTCTAAAATAAATTAAATAAAGTAAATTTATTAAAGTAAAATAAATTACAAACTAAAATAAATAAAATAAAAATAAAACAAATAAAATAAATTTTGTCTTATTTTAATAAAACAGGAAAAATTTCAAAATCAAAATAATGCACAATTATTTACAAAAGAATGAATGAAGCTGAGATTAAATATAAACTTTGAAATTTTCGAAATGGTAGAAGTCAAATTTAAGTTTCATTAAATTTAAATGGCCAATTTTAAATAGCTTCGTCAAAAAAGAGTGTCATATAACTTAATTAAACAAGCTACTTGATACTTCAATGGATGCGACGAATGCTATTAGGAAGAAAAATCATAAAGAAATGGTAGAAGATCCGAAGCAAAGAGAAAAATGAATTATTAGGAATGCTGTAAGATAATGGATAAAGAATACTGTATTACATATACTGCGTGAATATTGTTAAATGAATTTTGACGTAAAACAGTATACCGTTCCATCGATGAAAGCTATTAGGACGAAAAATCACGAAAAATTAGCAGGATATTGGAAGCAAAGACAAGAATTAAATATTAGACATACTGTAAGATAATAGATAAAGAATACTGCATTAAATATATTGTGTAAATAATGTTAAGTGGGCTTTGATGTGAAACAGTATACCGTTTGAAAGATTTAGCTAATGTTTGGAATTTAAAAAAAATTGGTAGTTGAACGGTTTTGGTACTGTAAGTCACTGACAAATTAGGAATACTGTAGTATAATAGATCTAGTATATTGCATTAAATATATTATACAAATATTATCAGTTGGATTTTGACATGAAAAATTTTATCGCTCAAAGATTTATTTAACATTTGGAGGAAAAAAAAAAGGTAATTGGACGCTTTTAGTACTGTAAGTGATTAATTGCTAACGGTGAAATGTTTGATCTTGCCTAATCCACATATGGTAGACTATTTTCACTAACACTCATCATGCATTATATTGTCATTTTGAGCGGTTCTTTTTTTTTTTTTGGTCCTATTGGTCAATTGGTCAATTTTGGTGAATTTTTCAAAAGAACCAAAAAGCAAAAAAAAAAGAGGAAAAAGACGATAATATTCTATAAAAGCAAGGAAAAAAAACAAACTATTAGAAATTGTTAATTAAAACATTTATAATAATATTAATTATTTCATTTAAACTTTGAACTCCCAAGAAAGGTATTATTTACGAAATGCTAAAAATTTTGCAAATTCAAATAGCTCATGGTTAAAAGTAACATTTAATTAAGTAATAAAATATATTTCCAATACTTTGATTCCCATTAATAATTTATGCTTTATGTGTAATAAAGAAAATGCTAATATTACACAAAATTTTAACTAGATGTATTATAAGTATGAAGATATTGATACATCACTTTAACAATTTCACAAACCATTTGCAATATGACATGACAATGTTATCAATCAAAGTATTCGTGAAAATACTTCTCAAATGATCATTATCAAAAGTGATGAATTATATACAAAATGAAAAACGAATCATTTAAACAACAAAAAATAAGTCAATTAATTAATGAAATAGAAAAAAAAACGGTCGAATAAAAAGTTTGTATTTTGTTATTGAAATGTATGCGTTCTTTTTTATTTCTACGGTAGTGAATTTTTAAAAATTTCCAAATTTCATATCAATTAAATTGTGCAAAATTTCGTATCAATAAAAATGTGCAACTTTCGCACAGTAACAAAAACATGCGAATTTCGCAACAATCAAAAATATATCAGTTTCGTATTCGTAAAAATATATCAAAATATTATTTTATCGCAATCTTTTAGAATATTTGCAAAAATTTCAAAGATTCCAATTGTTTTTTTTTTAAATATCTGAAATGATTTTTCATTTAGCACTGAATAATCAAACTGATCAGGAAAATTATTAATTGTTAAATTAGAGAAGTAATTACTAATTAATTAAGGTGCATTGACAATAGAAAGGGACGGGGAAGAGTTGCGTAATTTATAAAACCGGAATTCCGGTTTGACTTGATACATGTATGATGAAAAGAGTAAATAAAGTTTCAAATAATGTTTGAAATAGAGGAAACTTTACAAAGTAAGCAACCATAAGTATCAAGCATTAAATTTGAATTAGATATTTCCTATTTCAAATTATTAATTGTTACTAAAAAAAAAAAAAAATATGAAACATACCGCAAGACGTTGTGGAGTTGTTGGCTCATCAACAATCGCTATACCTTGACCTTCCTGGAAAGAAATAAAAAAAGCTAAATTAGCATAAAATTATTCTTTTCGTTTGGGAAATTACTAATTAATTCAAAAATTAGCCAAGCAAATATTTAAAAATCAAGTGTTACAGTATTTCTTGATTGCTTTTCCGTTTTGATTTTTATTATGCAAATTTATGAAGATGTCAAATAATTTATTTCAACTGAACTTTCTCTTTTTTTTCTCAAATGAATTCATTAAAGAAAAAAGAAAAAAATTATAAAAAAATATAAGATTGTGAAACAAAGGAAAGCTAAATTTAAATAACAAAGTTTTAATTTAAAATTGATAAAATGATAAACTAACAGTGATATATTGTTGTAACAGTTCAAATAATTAGATTTTTGATAATCATTTGTGTTTGGTAGGATTAATCAAATAAATGAATATTTAAACAACAATTACTTCTATCTTTATTCATTCACCATTAGAATTATTAGATTTTAATTAATTAATAATTCGTTTTCTTCTAAAAATTTTCTAAATTTTAACAAACTTACTGATAGTAAAAGTGGTAGCTTAATTCCTGCAATAGTTGAACTTCGATGAAGCATCTCTTTTTTAATTTTTTTGTTTCTAAGTTGATTGAATACGGAATGTTTGCATTTTCAACTTTATTTTTTGTTCGTTTTTCCTTCTCGTTTAATCATAAAATTAAAAAATTGAATTCAAATTTAAAAAATTCGTTTTTTTTTAAAACAGGAAGTATATATTTATAAAAGTTTAAAAAGACGAACAAAAAAAAAAAATGAAAACGTGAAGAAAAGAAATTACGAAATTGCGGTAGTTGTAGGAGAAGAAAATTTAAAAGGAATTGTTGTTGAAATGAAATTGTAAATTTGTAAAAAGACTACTGATCAAAAAAAAAGAAGCGTTTCATTCTTGCAAATTGCAAAAACTGATCGTGCTTTTTTTTTTCTTTTTGCAAGTTTGTCACACTCTTGCAAAATTGCTCGTCTTTTTTTTTTTTTTTTTTTTGCAAATTTCTTTCTCGTTACCTTACTACGCAATATTTCTACTTCTTGCTATCTTACTATTCCTCATTTCAGTAACTTGATTAACTAAGTGGAAAAATTGATTAAAAAGCTAATTAGGTAAATTAACGAATTAACTGAGCAAATAAACTAAATATGTAACTAATTGACTAACTAATGTAACTAACTAACTAACTAGCCAACTAACAAACTATCCAACTAAATAATTAATTAACTAACCAACTAACTAACTAGCTATTACTACTACTACTACTACTACTATTAGTAGTAGTACTTACTGCTACTGCTGTCATTATTATTACTACAACTCGCCAATATTGTTGCCATTAGCAATGAAAATTTTGAAGAAATTAGAACTTCAAACAATGCTAATATTATTAGTGGCTTAAGTTTATGCTTTCTAAATGTAATTAATTAATTAAATGAATAAATGAATAAATGAATGAATGAATTATTGCAGTTAAACGACAACTGATGAAATGAAAACTTTAAAAGTGTAATATGCAAATATATATATATATAAATTTAAATTTCACTTTAACATTATTTATTAGTTTCTTATTTACAAACATTTATTGCCGATGTTATTCTTTCATTTTCACATTTTACACTTTCTCTTATTCAGCATTTTACATTTTGAATTATTTACTAATCATTTCAACATTTTTTTAAAAGACAGAAAAAAACAGAGAGAAGAAAAGGGGAGAGAGAGAGGGAGAGGGGGAGAGAGAAGAAAAAATGACAAAACAATGAATATGAACCTTTTTTCGTTTGCTTATCTTATCTTTTCAATTTTTTTATTTTTTTTGCTTTCTTACTATTTCAATGTACACAAAATATTTTGAAATTACTTTCTACGATAGTTTTGCTAAATTTCAAAGTGAAAAAAAAGAAAGCAAAAAAAACAAAATTTCTTTCAAAATTAAAAATTAAAAGAAATTTTATGCAAATAATTAATTTAAAACACTCAAAAATATTTCCAATTATTATTTAAAAAACAAAAATACTTTTGACAAGAAAAAACGAAATTTTTTTTCGAATGCTTAAAAATTACAGCATTTAAATACTTAAAAGTTGGAACAACAACACACACATACTAAGCAATGCAAAAAAAAAAAAAAATAAACAAATAAACAAGTAAACAAAACAAGACAATTAGTGAATAAGTAAATAAACACAAATTAAAAGACTTTCCATGTTTAAATAAAAATTAATAGTTATAAGTTAATGCACAAAGAATGTCAAACATAAGTGATAACGATAACTTTTGTTTCTTACTGATAATCTTTGTGAGATTGATTGTATGTCAAGAAAAAGTGGAATAAATTTGAGGTTATAAAAAAAACCGAAGAAATGAGAAGATAAAAACTGATAAAAGCTTATCGGCTTAATAAAGTATAACCTAATTGATTTAATTCTTTACTTAAAAGCCTCTAAAATCATTGGCTTTTTTTCAATTTATTTTGTCTTATTTGCTTTTTCAAAATGGTCAAGTTATTTCGCTTCAATTAAAATTTCTAATCCAATTAATAAACATGAACTTTTTTCATCCATAATAAGCTGAATATTTTGAATTAATCTTAATTTTCTCTTCATATATTCAATCCTTTTCCCAGTAATGCATTCATTTCTTTTTTCGTCTTTTATTTTTCAAATTCATATAGATAGGAAGAGAAAATTGGACTGGAAGCATTGGAGGAAAAAGGAATAGGAAGGAACGAAAAGAACTTGTTAACTTAAAAACTGTTCAATAAATAAATTAAATTATTTATTAACTTAATAAATTGCTCCATAAACAAATGAGACTTAAAAAATTTGATAAATTATTTAATAAAAAAAGAAGAAAATTATGGTTTTGAAGGTGATAAGGAAAAAAAGTGTTAAAATAATGAAATTATTTAATTATTTATGTTGTTTAATCTCACCACAAATCCAGTTTCATTTCTTTCAATTTCCAATTATTAAAAAGAAGAGGAAAATTCTAAATATGTAATCGGTTGCTAAACCCGTCCATTCTTTTGAAATTCCTTCATACTTCTTTTCTTTTCAGAAAAAAAACTAAACGAAATTTTGGGAATTATATTCGAAATTGAAAATATCGGGCGCAAAAAGGCACGTGTTAGAATTAGGAAAAGAAAGAACAATGGCGGCATTTGTTTTCTTCAATATCCATAATTAAAGAATAATGAAAAGAATTAATTTCCCGTTTCCGATCAAATTTCATCGTATAATTTTAACATTTTTACGGTATAATTTTAATTTTACTAACAAAAAAAAGAAAAGAACGAAGAAAACCAAATCAAAGTGACACAAATTATAAATTTCCTATTAAAACAATTAAAAGATTTATTGATTTTCCTTTTTTTTTTCTTAAATCATTTTAAAATTTCATTCAATTATTACGAAATTTTATCAAAAAACTTTTTTCTTTTATCTGACGTAAAATTTATTTAAAAAAAAAGAAACCATTCCAAACATTTTTAACAATAAAATGTTTTCTTTGATGACATTATCTTCTCACAATGAATCATTTTTCAACCATTAACTTTCATTCTTTTACTTTTTCATTATCGATTTCTCTTTTGTCCTTCCTTCTACCTCAGTGCTCTCCCCCGCATCTATTTTATCCCGTACACCGCTCCTTCCTATTACTCCCGCTCATTCTCGTCGAACTTTTCATCATAATGATACATCAAAAACGACAAAAAAAACTATTTCTTTTTTAAATTTTTCTAAATTAATCATCGAGTGAGTAAACATATGGAATTATCACACTGACAAATCACAGAATAAATAAAAAAAAATAAAATGGTAAAACAAATCGATGCTATCGTATGTTAATTCAACGTTATCGTAATACACGAAAAATATTGGCCACAGTAATATTGACTGTTCACAGGGTTGCAACAATAATTAACTAATTAATTAATTATTCATAAGTATATGCATTATTTTATCTTATACGTATGGATGATAGTTATTGATCTTGCTCTTTATTATTATAAAGTTATGCATGATGTAATTAAAAATGAAGATTGTACAGTATTGTACTATTAATTTTTTTAATTTTAATAATACTATTAATTATTGATAGTATAATTGTTCGTCTCATTATTTTACGTATTAGTAACTGCCATTTGTTAATTGATTAATTAATTAAATTTTGATAAACTAATTTAAGTATGATAATTGAAAGTAACAAACCTGATAAGCCGTACCATTACGGGTGATAGTTGAAATGTGACGAGAGATACCGTTTTTTCCACGATCTATTTTAGCATTTTGCCATGAATTTTGATCCAGTGGCATTTGTTCAAAACAGGTTTCTGAAGTAAAAAAAAAAGAAGTAAACAAATTGCTTCATTTAAAATTAACAAAAATATAATTAAAAATTAGAATTTCAACAAAATCTCATCAATTTGATGCAATTGTTAATTATGGAAACTTATTAAATTTAACAAAAAAGTAATCGGAATTTGAAAAAAAAGTCATTTATTAGAAACATTTTTCCTCCGGTTTTTTGCCTTTTGTTTTTAATTTTAATATGCATTAATTTTAAAAAAACTTATCATTTTGAAATTAAATAAGAATAAACAATTTCCTATGAAGTACTACAACTTTTCCTTTTTTTATCAAATGGTACTAAATAATTGGAAGTAAATTATTTCATTTAATTTTTATTTCAAATTTCACTTCAACTATTAGTGTCCATACCACATAATTTTCGGGACCAAATATTTTCAAGTTTTTAAATTTGAATGATTTTAACAGACTTTAAATTGAATCTGGCATTAATAACTTCATATATTTTCCGTTGCGTTAATTAATTGAATATTCATTACGGATTTGGAATATGACATAAAAACAAGTTAAATATTTGAAAATTTTAGAAACAATATTTTTAAATAAATTTGTTTGTCAAATTAAACTTCTAACAACGTTTGTCACAACTTCTGATAACTAATTTATTAACAAAATTAACAATTAACGAATGATTGCAATTATACCAAAAAGTAAAATTATTACTTTAATCAGAAGTTAATAAATTGCAAAGGAAAAAAAAGAATCAAAAAGTGACTGTCATTCATAAGGTTTGAAATAAAATAAAATGAAATAAAATTTGGTAAAAAATTAACGAAAAATCAAATGAATTCTATCCACGTCGATATACTTTTTGATTCAACTACATTAATAGTAACAAAAAATTAATGAATCGAAATTTTAAATGATAAACTTCATTCTTCAAAGGTTAAAGGTGAAAAAAGGCGAAAAAATTACCCTCATTGTAATTATTTGTTTCTTCTCGAATAGCACTTAAGAAATTCTTATTTGAAAATCCATAGATCAAACACATTGGAGTTTACAGTACTGATAGTAGTAGTGATAGTAACTGTTATTATTTGTTTTTAAATTTAAATTTTAAACAATTTTTATTTTTACAAATAAGTGGAAAAGTCATGAATAATTAATCGTAAATACACAAAAAGTGATAATTACTTAGAAAGAAAATGTCATTAAAAACGTAGGTGACACGAATGGTCAGTTCAATTAGTTGCAATTACACTGTAACATTTTC